ACTGTAACGGGGGGAGGGGAGTGGGAGCCAACTAAGTACAAGCCTCTATCTGTCTGGCTGGCTGGCTGACTGTCTTTCTGTCTATCTCTCCTGAATGTAGACACAATGTGATCAGCAGATTCATGCCTCACCACAAAGCCTTCCATCCATACCACAATGGACTGTGTTCCCTCAAACCAGCAGTCCAAAGGAACCTTTCCCTCCTTCGTTGAGTTGTTTTCCTTGTGTGTTCTGCCGCAGCAATGACAAAAGGAACTTATACACTCGGGATTATAATCATTAGACATAATGACATGACACCAGCATGTCAGATTTGCCAGTGATCCAATAAAGTCTTGCTCTGTGCGTGGCTGTGTTTGTGCTACAAAGCCAAGCTGAATATCTTTGGCCAGTATCACATAGCCTGAGAAGCCTGATGTACTCAACAGGAGGCACCTCACAGGCAATGTCTGCTGCCACCTGACTAGGTCACAGCCAGGAGATCTAGATCTCGGCTCCTCATCCGTCAACCTAGTGCTTTGCTCCTTTCATAGCTTATGGGATGCTGACCCGCCTCTCCCACCATCTTACTTGTGAGGAGAACATTGCTTCCACTTTCTATCTTTGTTGTAGTTGTTGGTCAACGAACACCAACTCCGATTCAAAATGTAGCCTTCCTTGGTGCATTCATTGACAGTCTTTTTTCTGAATTGGAAAGGGAAGACACACATTGGAGGATCTGCAGAGAAGATGCATAAAGGATGCATTAAAAACACTGTGCTCAAATCAATCCCTGTGGAGAAAACATTCAGGATTGTCCTATCAGATTGTTTTCAGGTTCTTCAAATTACACAGAGAAGACAATATCTGAACTCAGTTCTTTCTGAGATTCAAAATCTTTCTTCTCTTGGCCCCTGTAATCTGATCTGTACCCTTGTAGGACTCTTACCCAGGGCTGTGCAGTAACGCCACCTTCCTTGGAACTGAAAATCAAGGGAACACCAATCAAAGTCACTGTAGTCGGAGATACAACTGTAGTGGAATTCACCACCATAGATGAATGGAAAGACACAGTTAGCAATAGAAATTTCTGGAAAAGAGAATGATTTCAGAATACAAAATAAGATCATATTGGAAAGTGACTTTCAGGTTGTTTGTTCTTGAGGTTGATCTTACTCTGTAACCTAGATAGACTTCAAACTCACTCTACATCTGAGGCTTGCTTGTAGCTCATGCTAGTCCCCCTGTCTCAGCTTTCTAAATGTTGGGATTTCAAGCTTTAGCTATCATTCATGACTCAGACTTGACTTTGGAATGTCTATTTTGGGGACAGGATAGCAGTTGTTGTCTCATCATCACCACATATACCCAAAGCTGGTGTCTCTTGCTGCCTTTCATGATTCTGACACAAAATATCTTCAAAATCTCCAAGGGAGCCTCATTTTGTCCCAGAGATGGGTTCAGGTTGGAGAAGCTGGCTTCCTTAATGAAAGTACTTTAGCAGTGAGGGACCCCATTTGTCAGAGTTCATACTCTGATGAGAGTTCCTCTTACCCTCTGTGTTGACTAGCTTTTGTCAGCTTGACACAAATCTAGAGTCACCTGGAAAGATGGAATCCCAACCAAGGAATTTTCTCTGTCTGACTGGCTTGTTTGCATATCTGTAGGGCATTTTCTTGACTGATGATTTTTTTAGGGGGCTTATTCCACTGTGGATGGTGTCATCCCTGGGAAGGTGGTCCTGTTTTGTGTAAGAAAGCAAGATGAACAAGCGATGGAGAGCAAGTCAATGGGCAGAATCCCTTCATGTTACTGTCCTCTGCCCCTGCTTGAGTTCCTGCCCCAGTTTTCCTTTTTCCTCAGTGATGGCTTATGATTGCTAAGCGTTATCATAGTAACCAGAAGTAATTAGAATAGAAATTGGTGCGGGAGTGGGGTATTGCTTAAAAAGGACTTGATTGTGCTGTTCTTTCTTTTTTCCGTTCAGTCACACCTTTTAAAATTATAGATTCAGTGACATAAATACTTAGGATGAAACATAACAGGAAGTTAGACTTCAGGTCACCTCAAGAAAGATAATGACTAAATAGTTGTGGCAAGAAATATAGAAATCCTTGTTAGAAACAAGTATAGATAGCCAATGACCTTTCTGGTTTCACTTCTAGGAATCAGCCCAAGGTAAACTTTCCCCAGAGAGTTGAACTTTCACTCAGGTGTAGGAATGCTTCATATGGTGTTCTTTTTTTTTTAAATATCCTTCTCCCATACATTACATCCCATCTGCACTTTCCTTCCCTGAGTGTTTTGTTCTTTGGGAAGACTACAAAGGTGCTGGGGAGCTTTGGACTGGAAGCAGCATTCTTCCATCATTACTGCCTCTGTTCCTGCACAAGTTCCTTCCCTGACTTCCTTCAATGATGGGCCATGATTGGTAAGTGTAAGCCCCAAACCACCATTTCTTTCCTAAGTTGGTTTAGGTAGTGTTTTATCACAGCAACAGACAGCCAGTAGGACATATATATTTTCCTCTGTCCTGAAAAAAATAAATCTCCAAATCATCTCTCAAAGATCTCATTGCCATTCACATGTTTCTTCTTATTCTCCATCCTCTCTCTTCATCCCCCTCCTCCTCCTCCTCCTCCTCCTCCTCCTCCTCCTCCTTCTTGTGCATTTTTCTTTGCTCTGCCTCAGCAATGACTTCTCCTCAGCTGTGACTTCTCCCAACATATGCCTCCATGCTGAAAGGCTCACTTCTAAGCACCAACCCAACCCCACTGATTAACTACGTGCATTCTCCTGTTCTTAGAATAAGAAATAGCTTCAGGTGACTTATGTTCTGACTAACTATCTTCACAATACTTATACATTAAAACCACACATTATGTTTGCATGCCTTATAATTCACGTTTGTAATAATATTAATTGCCTCAATTTAGCCACCCATGGTGTGAACCTACATCCATACATTGTGTTTAGCTTCCTACATATACAATTATTGTCAGTGAAAAAGGGAAAAACAAAGTGCAGAAACTTACATCGTCTTTTCTTAGTGCTAATGGAGAAGGGAGTGTTTTCTTGAGTGACTAAGAGTTGATTACTAAACTGAATCTTTTTTTTTGATGCAAACTACATGAGGCTTTATTATAGTTGTTTAACAAGCTAACCCCATGTTAGTTCAGGCCATCCATCTATCAACATGGTGGATGGCTAGGAAAGACAGCTCGAAGTGTCTGCATAGAGATCTTATAGGGCACTGTAAGGGGAGTGTCTAGGAGTATGCACAGGCTCAGGATTGGTTCTATGCTCTGTGCGTCATTGCTGTGCACTTGTCCATAAAGCACACCCAGAGCCGTAAAACATAGCACCACCAGCTAACTTCTGATTGGTTCCTTGACACAAGGCAGGCATCTGACCTCTTAGTGACCAAGGCAACGTCCGACAAGCTCGTGTTCAGCTGTTATGGCTGCCAAAACGGGGAGCTGGTCCCTACAAGGAGGTCCAGAAGTTCCTCTATTGTACAGGGTTGTTTTGGCTATCCTGGGTCTTTTGTTTCTCCATATAAAGTTGAGAATTGTTCTTTCAAGGCCAGTGAAGAATTGTGTTGGGATTTTGATGGGAATTGCATTGAATCTGTAGATTGCTTTTGGCAAGATTGCCATTTTTACTATGTTGATCCTGCCTATCCAAGAGCATGGGAGATCTTTACATTTTCTGGTATCTTCTTTAATTTCTTTCTTTAGAGACTCAAAATTCTTATGGTACAGGTCTTTCACTTTTTTGGTTAGTCTAAACTGAATCTTTAATGTCTAGTTTTTCTGCTGTAACCCAGAGGAACCCTTCATATCAGAACATAATACAAGAAAAATTATACAACAGAAAAGGGTGAGAACTTTAAAAAGATCTAATTCCTTTTAAGGAGTGGAGGCTAACATCTGAGATTCTGCCGAGCATTGGTTGTCTTACCTTGTTTTGGAGGATGTAAATGAGAGACCAATTCTGGAAGACAGAAGGAATGGGAAAAATGTAAGTCACCTCTTAAAACACTGTACACCCCCCAGCACTCAGAAGGCAGAGGCAGGTGGATCTCTGTGAGTTCGAGACCAGCCTGGTCTACAAGAGTTAGTTCCAGGACAGACTCCAAAGCCACAGAGAAACCTGTCTCGGGGAAAAAAAAAACCCACTGCACACCCAGAATAACTATTAAATTCACATCAACATTCTTCAATGTTACATCAAGTTGGGGTTGCATGTCTACTTAGGAAATGTCACATCAAGCTATGAAAAGCCAGGAAGCCCTACCCATCAGATTGAGTTCTTACTCTTCCAAATGTCTTCTCTGGAGTAGGTTAGAGTCATCCACAATATTAAGTACAATTCAGATTCTATTTACTTATTGTTGTTCAGCTTTCAGCTCAGAAAATAGTCTCTGAAGGACAATGATATTTATTGGGGATTTGTAGAACATTGCACTGGGATTACTGGTGTCATAGTAAATGTTAGCCATATGTAAGGGACCTGGGGCAAGGAGAAAAAGTGAGGGGAAAAGTAAAGAGGGTTTTCAGGTAAATTTGGATTGGAATTGTCTTCAGTCACTCATGACCAGGCTGGTGACAACTCAAAAATTCACCAGACACCTGTGGGAAAGTGTGATTGACAGCCCATTTCTATATGAGTATGTATATATCCTTTGGGTACCAATCTGGTATTGAAATTATTTCACTTGTGGGGAAAATGGATTAAGCAATCCCATACTTCAACCAAAAGTACTGATTTTTCTCTCATACGTGGATCATATATATATTATATTTGTCACATTGGATCCACAATTGTGAAACAGAGGGAGATGGATGTTTGTGCTTGTGTATCTTTCTACTTTTATGCAGTTCATAACCCAAACCAATAAATTGGTGCCATCTACTTCATGGGTGTGTCCTATTTCAAATAATCTAATCAAGTAATTTCTCATAAGCATCCCTAGAAACTAATATAATCTAGATAGTTCCTCATAGATATGCCCACAGTGTTGTCTCCTATGTGACTGCAGATCTTGTCAAGTTTACTAACATAATTAATCATCACACAGATTATATGTGACATGAAATCAGAAAGCTGTCTATTCAGGGGAGGAAGGAGATCTACAGAAGAAAGCAGAGGGACATAGAAGACTAGTGATGGAAAAGGATCAATAAAAGCCAAGGATGCATGAAACTCCATAGCGAGAAGACAGGGAAAATGAAACTCCACACCAGCAAGATCTGAAAAGCACAACACAGAGGAGGAAGAGACAGACCTAAACATCTACTTATGTTCGAGACCCTTAAAGAGAAAACAAGAAAATCCCTTAAATAAACAGAAGCAAAAACAAACAAAAGAAGAATAAACAATTCTCTTAAAGAATCTAAAGGAAGCCAAGAAAAAACAACTGAACAAGTGAAGGAAGCACTCGAAACAGTTCAAGGCATGAAAGCTGAGATAGAAACAATAAAGAAAACACAGAAGGAGGCAATGCTGGAAATAGAAAGGCTGGGTAAACGATCAGGAACTAAAGATGTGAGGATAACCAATAGATGGAAGGGAGAATCTCAGTAGTTGAAGACCCTCTAGAGGATATATAGTCATTGACCAAAGAAAATCTCAAGTTCAACAAATCCTTAACACAAAATATCCAGGAAAATGAAACTCTATAGAGAGTGGGTAGACATTTGTCAAATTATCTAGCTGACTTCATATTTCACAATACTTACACATTAAAACCAGTCGTTATGTTTAAATGCCTTATAAATAGTATCTCATACAAATTCATATTAGAGAAATTCTGTAGTGAATTAAAACCGTTATTTTGCACGCTAATTATAGAACTAATCAAAAGAATCCAGGTAACCAGGCTATTTCCCCACTGGATCTGAACAGTGTGAACTTGAGAATTTCGGGGGAAGCACAAGAAAGACACAATAAAATCACGTGACCATCTTGACCAAAATGAGTGAAACCCACTTCTTAACCTCTTATATTTTTTATCTTGCACTTTCCCTTACACGAAATTTGTTGGGATATGCCGTCATATGATTGGCCTCCTTACTGACTTCACTCTAACTTGGATTATTCTTAGTTCCTTTAAACCATTGGCACCAATGAGAATCGAAATTTTATCTAAGAGCTGAGAATATGTCTCAGTTGATTGAGTGCTTGCAGAGCATGCACAAAGGAGCCCTGGATTTGATCCCAACGACACATAAACAGAGCACTCAGGAGGTAGAAGCTGGAAAATCAGGAGTTCACGGCTATCTTTGTTCACATAGTGAGCAGGAGATCTCCTTGGACTACATGGGACTTCTTTAAAACATAATACTACAAGAACGAAACATTCTAACTCTCTCTTCATGAGACACAAAGTACTCTGTGCTCTGTATTTTTCAAGCTGTCATGCACAAAAAGCCCAACTTTCTTGAGGGCTCTGCATTTCTGTAGACACAGTGCAAGATGCTGGCCATCTGAGAGACTCCTCTTCCTTCCTGATTAGCCCTCACACTACACTTCCAGATGAGAACCCTTGTTCTAGATTGAAGTTACTTGTCTCCTGAGGATACCATTCATACGGTTCAAATTCCAAGAGACATAAAAGGAATCAACATGACATTTCTCCCCACCAAACCTGACCCCAGTCACCCTGCTATCTGCCCTATAGGTAGCCCATGTTTTTTTTTTCTACTTTAAAAAAATTTAATGATTTACAATCATTTTACATATCAACCCCCCCATTCCCTCTCCTTCCCATCCTCCCAAGTCCCCTACCTACTCCTCCAACCCACCCCCTTTCACTCCCCAGGGATGGTGAGGCCTTCCATGGGGGAGAATCAGAAAAGTCTGACTCATCATTTGGGGGAGGGCCTATGTCCTCCTCTGTGTATCTGGGGTGAAATAGTATCACTCCATAGCGAATGGGTTCCCAAAGTTCGTTTGTGTACTAGGGATACGTATGGTTCCACTGTTAGAGGACTTATAGACTGCCCAGGCCTCCTAACTGGCTCCCACATTCAGAGAGTTTGGTTTGGTCCAATGCTGGTTCCCCAACCTTACGATTGGGGTTCATGTGCTCTCACTAGGTCAGGTCAACTGTTTCTGCAGGTTTCTCCAGCATGGTCTTGACTCCTTTGCTCATCCCTCTTCCCTTTCTACAGCTGGATTCCAGGAGTTTGGCTCAGTGCTAGCCCACGTTCTGTGTGTTTGAAATTTCCAGACACTTTAAGAGAACAGCCATCTGAGAAGGCATTAATAAATTAACCTGGTGAAAATATTAGCTGAAACCATATACTATTTATTTTGGGCCTTGCTTCTTTAACAACAAACTTTGCAGAAATTTCTAGATCTAGTATTCCTCCTTCATGAAAATTTCTATTGCCGTGTAAGTACTGAGACCCAGGCTCCTTCACAGATAAAGTCACCTGTTCTGGGCTCACTCAACCAAGGAGGGGAAGAATAACAGTCGAATCCATGGTTCTCTGCTCTCCATTAGGTAGACTGAAAAAGCTGTCTTGGACAGCTGATCGCCAGCCTTTCTGAATCGTCACTTGCTCTGGAATCTCCCCCTTCAACTCTCACCCCTTCTTTTTCACCTCACCTGCATTCAGTCCATGCATGCAGACAGCTAGCGACACCCAGCCCACAAAATGTCTCATCACCTCCAGTTGCCTGCTGATGGCACACACAGGAGCAAACCTGGCCTTTGACTTTATACTCTCCCTTATGCTCCTCCTACTCTGTCTGCTCACACACACACTTCCTCCACAGCAAAGTCCCTTTGTCCTAAATGGCATAGAGTGATTCAACATCCATCTTAGAATGCTCCGTGGTGTCATTCTAAAAATGTTGTCTTTTTTTGCGGGGGTGGGGTGGGGGTGGGGGCTGGATTTCACTTTGCTAACATGACAGCCAATCTGATAAACTTTGACTTGTTATCTTGTATCGCTATCATTTTCTCTTTGAGACATGGATAGTAAAGTGATACCCATCTATTCATTTGAAAGTATTGACTTTGTGCAATTATGGAACAACTCATTGCATAGGCATAGAAAACAAGGAGATAGCAACCCAGAAGACAAAATCAATTTTCGTTTTTAATCTTTGCCATCTGAGTGACTCTGGAGAGTTGCTTTTGCATCTGGAGGCTAATTCCGGAGAGAAATGAGTACTGTTTGAAGTTAATAATTTTCCTTCATATCATAGCACAGTTTTGAATCAGAACTGTCACAATTCAAAACACACATTCTCCTCTCTCTCTCTCTCTCTCTCTCTCCCTCTTCCACTCCCTCTCTCTCCCTCTCTCCTCTCTCTCTTCCTCTCTCTCCCTCTGTCATCCTCTCCCTCCCCCTCTCTCCCTCCCTTCTCCTTCCCTCTCTTTCTCTCCCTCTCCCTCCCTCCCTCTCTCTCCCTCTCTTTCTCTCCCTCTCTCTCCTCCCCCCTCTCTCCCTCCCTCACCCTCTGTCTCTCCCACTGTTACCCCCTCTCTCTCCTCTCTCTCCCTCTCTCTCCCTCTCTCTCCCTCTCTTTCCCTCTCTCACCCTCTCTCTCCTCCCTCCTCTCTCCCTCTCTCACCCTCTGTCTCTCCCACTGTTACCCTCTCTCTCTTCTCTCTCTCTCCCTCTCTCTCCTCTCCCTCCCCCTCTCTCTCCCTCTCTTTCTCTCTCTCTCTCTCTCCCTTTCTCTCTCCCTCTCTTTCTCTCCCTCTCACCCTCTGTCTCTCCCACTGTTACCCTCTCTCTCTCCTCTCTATCTCTCCCTCTCTCTCCCCCTCCCTGTCTCTCCTCCCCCTCTCTCTCTCACTTCTGGGAATGAAACGTCCCCTTTTCACACTTCTCATTAGTAGATTGAAATTTGTGGCTGTGAGTTAGCTCAATCTTGAATTATTTATAAGCCTCTTTCCTGCTTGCTGAAGAACATTCTTCTAATCTTCTTTACTGTGCTCATAACTTTTCCCTGTGACAGGGCAGATATGCTCCTGAATATTCATAAAATTATGGAAATTATGATAAACATGTACATAGTGAGTGAGGAGTGGCCTCAAAATTTGCCTTGTGCTACATGCTAAAGGACATTTTGATCAGAGACCAGAACATCTCACCCTCTGGAAAGACTGTGACAAATATCAGATAGAACCCATTATTCCTGTCTTGCTCAACTGAATAGTTATTATGTCCTGAGGCTCTTGTCAGGTTACTAAAGATAATTTTTCCCATTTTCTCAGAGCCAAGGCTGGTACTTTATCAACAGTGCTAGGTAGGTTGAAGCAGGTTTGGAAGAGATGATTTTTTTTTTACTCAATATCACTTTATCATCAGCAACCTCTTCCTGACATAGTCTTTTGAAAAAATAACTTTTCTATTTTAAAATGGACACATTCAGCAGCAAACATGGAAAACAAAGAAAAAGTCAAAGGAAACAGGACAATAAGTCAACTTAAATCTTGCTACACAGAGACAGCATCCATTATGCTTGGCAAGGTCTTTTGCTATTTTTTTCCATGTATATTTCTCTTATGTTGCTTGATTAAAAATTGTATCGCATATTCTGCTTGCAACTCTGTATGGGTTTTTTTCTCACCTAATGGAATGCGAGGCACCTGGCCCACATCAACAAAGATTCTGTGGAACATCTGAAAACATCAAAGTGTGTAATTCTTAACCCTTGAATGCTGCCTTGGTGTGCTCCAGTGGAGATTCAGCCCCCTTGGCAGTAGCTTCATCAAGACTCAAACACCATTCTTTGCATCCTCAGTGGAGGAGCCTCCTCTTTGGAATGTGAAGCTGATGATGTCAAGTGTGTCCTTGACCTTCCAGGTAGGATGCAGAGTTGACCTTCCGGGTAGGATGCAGAGTGCTTCTATTTTCTCAGACTTCTTCCTGATAAGGGTGATCAAACAGCGATATCCAAGATTTATTACTAAGGAATCTGGTTTATTTGCAATTGTTTATGCTTTTATTCAGGTTGGAAGAAAAATTTTACTTGAGTTAAAAAAAACCTACAAAATGGCAGAGCTGAACTTAAATTCCAAAGCATCTTTATGAATACTACATTTTCAGATCCAAGAAAATGGGCAGTGTGATTCTGATTCACATAGAAGGTATAAAGGTTGAATTTTATGTGGAACACAAAAATGAAGAGGCATTGCCATGCACTTGCATTTTACACTTTATTTAAAAGATGGTGGTCTAGACATCGCATGCCCCATCCAACCCACTGAAATCCCAGAGTCCTGGAGGCAGCCTCCCCACATGCCAAAACATCCATCACTGAACCTACTGGGAGAGATGAGTGCCTAGGCCCTGCCCTCACACTAGAACCTCCTTAAAATTAATCAAAGGAGATAAAGAAGGTCATTTCATATTCATCACAGGAAAAATCCATCAAGATGAAGTCTCAAAACTGAACATCTATGTCCCAAATACAAGCACACCAACATTTGTAAAAGAAACATTACTAAAACTTCAATCATACATAAAACCCCACACACTAATAGTGGGGGACTTCAATGCCCCATTGTCACCAGAGGACAGGACTACAGGACAGAAATTTAACAGATAAATAAATGAACTAACAGAAGTTACAACTTAATTGGGTTTAACAGACATCTATAGAACATTTCATCCAAACTCAAAAGAATATACCTTCTTCTTAGTACCCCATGTAACCTTCTCTAAAACTGACCACTTGCTTGGTAACAAAGCAAATCTCAACATATACAAAAAATTGAAATAACCCCCTATATCTTATCAGATCACCATGGTTTAAAGCCAGAATTAAGCAACACTAATTATGGAAACCCTAAAAACTCATGGAAATTGAATAATGCTCAATTGCATCACCTCTGGGTCAGGAAGAAATAAAGAAAGAAATTAAAAACTTACTAGAATTCAATGAAAATGAAAGCAAAATACCCAAGCTCATGGGACACTTTGAAAGCAGTGTTAAGAGGAAAGTTCATAGCATTAAGTGCTTACAGAAAGAAGCTGAGAGCTCCCACACTATTGAGTTAACAGTATACCTGAAAGCTTAGAACAAAAAGAGGCAAACTCACCCAGGAGGAGTAGACACTAGCAAATAATCAAATTGAGGGCCGAAATCAATAAAATATAAACAAAGAGAACAATAGAAAGAATTGACAAAGCAAAGAGTTGGTACTTTGAGAAAATCAACAAAATAGACAAACCCTTATCCAAACTAACCAAGTCAGAAAGAGAATATCCAAATTAACAAAATCAGAAATGAAAGGGGGGACATAACAACAGACACTGAGGAAATCCAGAGAATTATCAGGTCAAACAATGAAAGACTGTACTCCACAAAGTTGGAAAATCTAAAAGAAATGAACAATTTTTTTGGACAGATAACACATACCAAAATTAAATCGAGACCAGGAAAACAAATTAAATAGATCTATAACCCTATGGAAATAGAAGCAGTCATTAAAAGTCTCCCAACCAAAAATAAAAGCCAAAGGCCAGGTGGTTTCAGTGCAGAATTCTACCAGCACTTCAAAGAAAAGCTAATACCTATACTCCTCAAACTGTTTCACACAATAGAAGCAGAAAGAACATTGCCAAACTCCTTTTAGGAGACTACAGTAACCCTGATACCCAAAACACACAAAGATGCAACAAAGAAATAGAACTACAGACAAATCTCCCTCAATGAACATTGATAGAAAAAAATCTCAATAAAATACTGGCAAACCAAATCCAAGAACACATCAGAAAAATCATCCACCATGGTCATGTAGATTTCATCTCAGAGATGCAGGCTTGGTACAATATACAAAAATGTAATGTACCATATAATGTAATCCACCATATAAACAAACTGAAAGAAAAAAAGGATAATTTCACTAGATGTTGAAAAATCCTTCTACAAAATCCAACACCCCTTCATCATAACAGTCCTGGAGAGATCAGAGATACAAGGAACATATCTAAACATAATAAAGACAATATATAGCAAGCTGACAGTCAATAATCAAACTAAATGGAGAAAAACTGAAAGCCATTCCACTAAATAAGGGAAAAGACAAGACTGTCCACTCTCTCCTTATCTATTCAATATAGTAGTACAAATTCTATCTAGAGCAATAAGACAACAAAAGGAGATCAAGGGGATACTAATTAGAAAGGAAGAAGTCAAATTATATTACTTGCAGATGATATGATAGTATGCATAAATGACCCAGTGACCCCCAAAACACTACTGGGGAACTCCTACAGCTGATAAACACCTTCAGCAATGTGGCAGAATAGAAGGTTAACTACAAAAATCAGTAGCCCTCGTATATACAAATGATAAAGGGGCCGAGAAAGAAATCAGAAAAAACATCACTCTTTGCAATAGTCAAAAATATAAACTATCTTGGGCTAACATAAAATACACAGGAGAAAGACCTGTACAACAAGAACTTTAAGTTCCTAAAGAAATAAATTGAAGAGGATATCAAAAATGGAAAGATCCCCCATGCTCTTGTATAGGTAGGGTCAACATAATAAAAGTAGCAATCCTACCAAAAGCAATCTACTTATTCAATGCAATCTTCATCAAAATTCCAGCACAATTCTTCACAGACCTTGAAAGAGCAATACTCCACTTCATTTGGCAAAGCAGAAGACCCCAGGATAGCCAAAACAACCCTGTACAATAAAGGAACTACCAGAGGCATCACTGTTCCTGACTTTAAGCTCTACTATAGAGCTATAGTCATGAAAACAGCTTAGTATTGGCATAAAAACAGACAGATAGACCAACGGAATTGAATCGAAGACCCTGATATTAATCC